GCCCCCGCATGGCTCCTGCAACCTCGTACCCGACGTTCAGTTCTCTCTTTTGGCGAAACAAACTGACCAGCTAAGAGAGAAAACAGTACAAGGAGGAAGCCTCCAAAGGCAACAAACCTGCCACAGAGCATCCAGGAGATGCACAGCCATGCTGCGGTCCCTACAGAAAACAAGACCATGACAATTGGTTGAGACCGGTTCCTCCTTTGAATAAACAGCAGCAATTAAAGATCAGCTAATTAACAACTAGCTCTGCAACCAGCTCCTAGCTTCCACAGCGCTCTGCACGCAGACAGCAGCGCCACGTCCGCCTCCAGCCGGCAGGTCTCCAGCGTGGCACCCGGGCAGCTAGGCAATAGCGCGAAGGAAAGTCTGGCGGGCAGTGCCGCAGGCGCCGACTGAATCGTTTCCCCCAACATATAACGGAGACGCTCTACGTGCAACCGCTTCCATGCAGTGGGTCATCTTCGGTCCGCTCCTGCTTCCCCCTTTGCCAAGGGGTGAGTTACCAGCTGCGAAGATCGGGAAGACTCGGGATGTGGTCGTGCTCTTCGGCACACACGCCAGGCAGCGCACTGCTCTGGCGGCCCCCAAACCAGGCCCTTGGTGCTCTGATAGGAGACTTTTGGACGACCTGCTTTAACACCTGCCATGGGATGCGGTCAGCCTTGGCTCCTGCTCAAGGGGACCAATTCCTTTCAAAATCTTCCCCCTACTGACCCTTTCCCTGCAGATAACCGCTTTGTCCCAACTTCTCCTAGTGAAAGTACCCACGCATCCATTCTGCCCGTGTACTGCACCCGACCCCCATGGGATCGCACGCAGCAGTCAGACCAGGCCTTTGCCGAGCTGTCTGGGCAAAAACTGCTGACCGAGACAACGGGTTTTAATACGCAAGCAGCTGTCATATGGCACCGTGCCCCGACACTGACTGAGCGCCCTGCTCGCTCGCTCCCTCCAAAGCGGCCGCGCTTCGATGCCGGCTCGCAAGCTCACCCTGGCTGCGCCAGCAGAGTACTTGCACGTCTCTAGCAAGGCTGTCCGATCTGCAGCGCGGACACGGACGCAGACACAGACGCAGAGCCGGCCCTGGCGGCCTCCGTGCCTGTGGCACGTGGCAGAGCGGGGGGAGAGCAGGGAGCACAGGGGTAGATGGGGCAGGGAGGGGAGAGCAGAGGGAGCACAGGGAAGGCAGCAGAGCAGCCACGCAGCTCCGGGCTGGGGAAAGGAGGCAGAGCAGGAGACGGGGAAGGGGAAGGAGACTGGAGTGGGGGTGGGAATCGCAGCTCCCTCCCAGATGCAGAGGCAGTTTGACCGCAGTCCCGTCCCCTTCCCACTGCTCCTTGTCCAGTGCACTCATTTTCACCGGACACAAGCCCCTCAGGCAAGTACACGGGGTGCAGGACCACCACAAGAAGCTGGAGACCCAACAGTCTTTGGTCCCCACGTGCTGAATTGCCAGCAGAAGGCCCCGCCTGTGCCCAAAGCACTGACCACGCAGATCCCCACCAAAACATTTCACCAGAAGGGCCTCGCTTCTGGTGAACCTGAACTAAATTTGGAGGAAAAGTTGCTAGCTGTGCACACTCAGGTTTCTCGCTCTGCTGCTGGCACCAGTTATCTCAGAAACACTTTGCACTTTTCATCCAAAAATCTCCCCGCACTTCAGAAAAAGGAGTTGGAGCATTACCGCCCCCATTTCACCGAGATGGTTATCCAGCGAGTCAGCAGCAAAGCCAGACGGAGCCTGCATCTCAACTCCCAGCCCTGCCTTATCCAGCAGACCTTGGTGCTTCAACTAGAGAAGAAAGGTCTCACACTATTAACTATGGCCTGAGAACCAGCACGTTTTCTTCGCTCCTCCTCAAATATTTAAACCGAAACAAAGGTGACCGTGGGCACGTTCTGGGTTTCAGCGACAGAAAACACCCTGGGGCAAAGGGAAGGAGACCACAGGTGAAACAGAGGGGTGTTTCACTGCCTCCTCTTGGCACCAGGCTACCCTTGGGTTTCAGTGCCCGTCTGGGCTTTATGATTCGGGGGAAGCTCGTCAGACCTTCCCCGGTTCTCAATGCCCGTGAGAAGCGCTGATCGAAACACCGGTCTCGGAGCACCCCCATGTCACCGGTGCTTTGTGGGGAGAAGCGAATGCAACGCACCCGATGCTGGGGGCGAAGCTCCAACTCACTTCATCGTCCCCCAACGTCACCGGATGCTCTTCCCGGGGAGGACTCGGAGGCCCGTCACGCTGCTGGCTAACGAGGTCTTGGGACTGTATTTTCAGCAGCAAGTGGCAGAGCGGGAAGTGGCTCTTGGGCAAGCCAAGCAGCCAATAACACACGATTTAAAAGGAAAATGGCAGAGTAAGGAGGATTGTGTGTGTGATAAGCCTAGTGCGTGCTCTCACCCAGGCAGCATCTGGAGAGGATTTTCTCCAGCAGACAGGGAAGAACTCGATTACATCCAGTTAACTGTGCTCTAAACTGATTATGCATGTGCCAGGCTAATGGATTACATTAGCAAGAGGAAAAATAACATCCAATCAATCTCAATTTACTGCAGACCACACCAAGGTCTGAGAGAAGAGAAACTGGTCCATGAACTACCCCCACTCCTACTCCTCTCAAATGCTTCAGTTATCAAGGACCCATGGCATCAAAGCCACTCTCGGCAGAGGAAGGGCCAGAACAAGACCTTAGTGAACGGGTCCATCCGCGGCCACCTTCTTCCATGAAACCCAGCGCCGGGGTAGCGCACGCTAGGCTGGGCCTTGCAGCCTCCCCGCTCCTTGGACAGCCCAACAGTTACTAGAAGGGAGCAACACAAATCAAAGTTCACAGTGAAGCAGGTTGGGGGCATCTCAAGGCAGTCGAGTCCATCCCACTACTGCGAGCACCGTGGGTGTGCAACACCAGTGACGTTCGTACACCTGCCCCGGCAGACCGGCGGATGCCAACACTAAGTATTTGAAATCAAAGCAGTTTCTGCCTCTGCCTGGGGTTTTACGGGAACTTTTACTTCAGAGGCAAAGAACATTGTGATCATTTTAAGGAGCATCCGGGGCTTCCACTGACTCCACCATGTGCCCGTCACAACGAGCTCCCTTTCCCTGCCCCGGGGACGGTGTTTCCTAAACCAACTTCTGGGACAGCTCCTGCCGCCTCCTCTCTTTGCAGCTTTCCTCTTCCCAGGGTGCGGGGCACAAAGCTGTCGTCTTCACTACTTTTCCCCCCAAAGAGCACAGCGAAACCAGAAAATCTGAACTAAGAATTTTTTTAAGTGTGGCAACTCCCTTGAGACATCGGGGGGTGGGAGGGATATAAACCTAAAAACTAAATAAGTACTTTTTCTTGTTCAGAACCAATAAAACTGTCTAAAGAGACTATTAAAGTTTAGACATGCTGATGCTTGACTCCTGAAAACAGAACTGCCTCCCAGATACCTTCACCCAGCCCCTGGGGCTCCGTCTTGCCCGACTTCCAGCCTCAATTCATCCTCATGTATTTCTTCTTTCAACTTTCCTGAAAGAGGACATATGGAAGCAAAGAGCTAGGAGAGCATTTAGTCATCTTGGCAGCAGAGCTCACAGGAGCCCCGTGGCGCTTCCCAGAGAGTCCGGTCAGAGTTAGCAAGGACTCCAGCTGCCGGGGTGAGACCAGCCGGCCATGCCATCCCACCGCTTCCCCTTTCCTCCTGGACATCCTTGTTGTGGTCCATCTCCTGAAAAACTGCATGCATTTACACCAGGCATGCTTCCCTCCTCAGCGTGGAGGGGCTATACAAGGTCTGAACTCACCTGATGTAAGAAAATAGCGCTCAAACAGAAAAAGAAAGCACGGAAGAGCAAGGGGAAGAAAAGAAGATACAAGATATAAAACGGGAGTGCTTGAAGTCTATAAAAATATTGAATAGCTCTTTAGATATCAGGGAAGGAAGGGAGAAAAAGATAATACAAAAATTGAGCAAAATGAGAAGACAGCGAGAAAGACAGGGCATGTGCGAGTGGAAGGTATGTGAAGTGAGCCTGCTTAGATTTATGGCATTTTGTACCTGACTGTTCATACTAAAGCCATTATGGGATGATTAGAGAAAAAGGTGAAGCTTTAAGTCCAGTGAAAATCAATAGAAACGTCTGGAGCAATTCTGCAGCGCGAGTGAAAGGACTATTTACTGTATCCGGTGCTCCTCTTGGGTTACAGCCCACAGGGTTCAGAGCGGGTGGCCACGGGGGAGCAGAAACGAGGCAGGGCAGGAGAAGGTGCTTACGGGGAGGACAGAAAATTGGAGACAAGTGGGGGAAAGACAAACCGAGATGGCAGTTGTGGGCCAATTCTTAGCACGCGTGGCGAACGGAAGGCCAAGACGGGCAGAGCGCCTCTCGTCAACATCGTGCACATCCGGGCAGAACTTGTCTTCCACACGTAGGCTCAATCAGCAGTTTACATTACAAACCACCAGCCCTATCCAAACAGTGCAAAAGAAACGGGAGTTTGCCCACATGCCTTCTGCATGCCAGCACGACCACACAGCGCTAGGACAGGAGCAGCGGTCTCCAAGTCCTGCGGGCACAGCCTCAGAGGGAGAAAACCCCACCCAGCATGTCCCTTCCCGGACCGGTAATGGAGAACAGTGCTTTGGACCAAGACACTCAGCAGTGACGCTGCTTTGTGGATGGTCAACATGAGATGTCTTACTGGACCAGGTCTTCAGGTGACAGAGGCTCAGCACCTCCTGAAAATCAGATCCACTTGAGGCACCTCAAAATGGATAATCCGAATTGCTAGCCACTCCTGAAAAGCCTGGCCTGAGGAGTCAAGAGCTCAAGGGAATTGCTAGCAAAATGCAAGCTGAGGAGATGAATGATACCAGCTGGCTGGATCCTGCTTGCAAGAGACTAAGGCCAAATCCCCTCCAAGGATTTAAACTCCCTCTCCACTCTGGTTCAAAACAGTTTCTTAGATGTTCCCCCACAAGGAAAAGTTAGAGAAGCCATCCCTTACCTTGTAGAGCTTCAGGCTCGCCTCATGCCTGGAGTTAACTGTATGAAGACGCAGCTTCTCCAGACTATTAGTGTAGTAGTCGCAGGCATTGCACTTGAGATGTACAGGGTTCCCAATGGCCACACACTTCAGCCGCCACTCGTTGGCCTTGCCACCCTCCTTGATGTGTGCCACCAGCTGGTATTTCTGCACGTGCTTGTCCGTCTTACAGTGGAGCTGGAAGTTTGCCTTGAGCTGCGTGTTGTAGCGGCACAGCTTGCACTGGTACGAGTCCCCCATCACCGCCTTCCACTCCTCCTCGGGGAGGCTGCGCTCCACGTTCATGTGCAGCCCCAGCATGTCCAGGTTATCGGTAGTGAACTTGTTGCACACGGCACACTGGAAGAGCTTCAGGGAAGGATCGTTCGTTTGCGTGAAGCTCTCGCCCAGGTTCATCAGCTCCTCGGACACCAACTGCCCGCCCCCCAGCCGCATGTCCAGGGGGATCTCTCCGCCCACTGCACAAAGGAGAGGGGAAAAAAGTTAGAAAAGCTCGTGCTGAACCCACCGAGAGGATCAAACCAGACCGTTCCCTCCCACCACGTGCCCCGTACCACAATCTGTCAGGCCCTGCGTCCAAAGCAACGTACATCAGTCCTTCTTTCCCCTGCCCAAGCCTCCGCCCTGTTCTAGGAACAAAGTGCCAGCCCTCAGATTTGCAGAGCCGAGCAGCCCTTGCTGCCCAGCCCTGCGCTCGCCACACTGCCTCTTGCTAGTCAGAGAGACCAGAAAAATCTGACTCCTTACCGAGTCGGGTCTCTGCAGGACTGCAGTGAAACACTCCAGCAGGCTCTCCTGCTTGCTCACGGTGGCAAGAAAGCGGGGAAGAGATCCCATTAAACCACCTCCTGCTACCTCCAAAGCTGGGCCCCACCGAGCGAGAGAGAATCTCTCACCCCGGTGCTAAGGTACGAGCGATACAGGTGCGGCGTGTCGGGCCTCAAGGTGCTGCAATGTCAGGAGGAAGCACCTGGCAAGAGCAGGAAGCAGCTGCTTCCCAAATGTGAGGCTCCTTCGTATCTGACCTCGGCACCCGTCAGAGCTAAATGATGCAAAATGGCCGAGAGCCTCAGAGGAGAGGCTGGCCGAGGAGAGACTGCATGCCCAGGAAAGACTGATGGCTAATGATCAGGGAAGTGCACGAGTACGTGTGTCAGGGAGAGCCCGTAAGAAGCATGCTCCCTCTCTCACTGTCATGTCCCTGCTCTTCAAATCATCATTGACCCAGCTAAACCAAGAGCTGACCTCCATTCACTTACAGCAAATTAATACAGCAAGCTCTTATTTATGTCATTAGAAAGGCCTAAGGATGTGGACAGAGGGGAGGCTTGCTCTCCATTACCTGGGATCTCATGGCTAAACACAGAACCCAACCACGAGCCTCTCCTGAGGGACTGTGCTCTTCCTTCCTCCCCTGACGTCTCAGCTGCCATGGGATGATTTCTCCCCTTCGGTACTTAACCCTGACTCTGTCCCTGCTTGCCTGGGGGGTGTTTTAGATCCGAGCAGCCTCCAAGACACTGGCTCAAAAAAATAAAAATAAAAGAGAGGAGATGCTATTCCTTATTTTTCTTTCCATGCAATCAGTGGTTTACGGAGGCGCAGCCACCAGTGGAAATCGGCTACATCTGAAGAGCCGGCTTGCGGACTCTGCAAAATCCAGAAGCCAGCACTCACTCTTTCTAGAGCAAGTGTTTCTGAGTGGTTTAGGTTGAAGCTCTCCAGCCTTCAGTGCCTGTCTTGTATGACATGTGCTATGCAAAGTGCAATTCAATAATAATTATTACAGTTCTAGGAAGGGAAGGGAAGGGAACTGGAATATTTGGTACATTCTGGATGCAGGGCCCAGGTTACTGGAGTATAAAACCATGCCCATAAACCAGTGCTTTCCAACCTTTTCATTTGTGGACCCATAAAAAAAAACAACAAAAAACAAAAAACAAACAAACAAAAAAAACTTTGAATGAAAGTGCACACCCCTCCGAATTGTAAGTGTGGGTATTCACATCCTTTTGATTGATAATAGTCATCTTTTGCGGGTCCCTTAGACACAGCCTCCATGGACCACATGTTGAAAACCACTGCCATAAAGCACAGGAGGAAAGGGTAGTGAGGGACTACCCCCACGTACACGACTCCTTCCCACATGCCAGAGCTCACCCAGAACCGGAGCCCCTTCCTCCACCTACCTACTCACAATCCCAACCACTGCGCTGTTTAATCTACTCCATCTCTGCCAGGGCACAAAGCAATGCCCCAGGGCACTTACTGGGGTACGTGGCTTGCTCACTTGTAGCATCCTACAATGGGCTTCATTGGTTTTTCCATCACTTCCCACCCCACCAGAATGATTTCTCTGACATGTAACTTAAATTACTGCTTTGAATCAGTCTGCTCCCAACCAGGTGTCAACTGAACGGAAATGGAGCCCGCTGAACAAGCCGCGACTCTTCCACTCGGAGCCAAATCTGCTGAAAAAGGCTTGAAAAAGGCAAACCTCCTTGTCTGCTTAGATTGCAAAACAAAAACCATGTTTTTATATCTCAGCAAACAAAAATGAAGAGAAGAGGTGACAGATGACTGCAGGAGAAGGGATAAGAGGTTCAAGATGCATCCGTACAGCACAAAACCAACTGCAACAGAGCCAAAGTAAAAGATTTATCCTAATAGCTGGATTTGTGCCAAGTGCTTATTGACATGGAAAGCCCCCTCCCCTGATTCAGGCTCAAGACCTGTAGTCATCAAGTGCCTGAGTCATAAATCACTCCCCAAATAAGCTTAGATGCATTCAAGATCTCTGCATTCAGTTGGAGTCATTGAAGAATGAGACCTTAGTTAAGGTACTCCCATTTCCTCTCTTGAAAGCTTCCTTCTGGCTTTAGGCAGGTGAGCTGGGGACAGAGTTTCTCTCAGGAAATCTCAACAGCCTGGCTACCGCTAGGAACACTACAGGCAATAAGGCACAAACCAAACAAGTAGAAATTATTTCTATTGCCAACATGAGAAAAAACACTCATAGACAACATCCCGCTACCAACCTGAGAGATGCAAACCAGGACAGCAGAGGCGCATGGAAAAAAAACTGTAATTACATTCATCTAGAACTACTTGCATTTCGCTTATAACTGCTTGCACTCCTCCATATCTATATGCATATCTATTCAACTTGTTGGTGTTTTTGTCTTAAAACTTAAGCTTCTCAGACCCCTCTGCACAACAATAACTACTGCTATAGGGCACAAGAGAAGGAAAAGGGAAGAGGCATGAGCTCTCAGAGCTAGGATTACAATGCATTAGCAATAATGGACGTTGACCAAGACAACGCATCCCATTTCAATGGATGGAAAAGGTTACAAGTGGCAGAGAATATAGGAGCAAGATTAGTTCACAGGGATGCAGCTAAAGCAGATGGTTTCCTTCTGAAAATGGAGTGCTTTAGTGTAATGGGCGGAAAGGAAGCGCCGTGTCAACTCCCTTGCACTTGCCCCAGCTGCGGTGGGTTCTGCCACGCGGCCTCGTTTCATCTGGACTGGCACTGGGCAGCACAGACGTGTATGGATGCATGGGCAAATGAGTAAGTGCTCCAAGGGGAAGAGGTGGTTGCCACCCCTGTCTACCGACATGCCGCTCTAGCAGTCTAGGGGCTGACCCACCACCCCGGATATTAACTTCGTTCTCAGGTTAAGTTCCCCAGGTTAGAGACTACAACTTTACACAGTCTCGCTGCACCAACTGGTGCTGTGCACAGATACAAATTAATGTCCCATTTTCAGGCCAGGAACTTGGGTGCAAGGGGGAAATATCCATTCAATGAACATCCTGTATGGACGACAAACCCCTTCAAAAAGACAGGCTCACTCTTCTTCCCATGCACAAGTAATCTGGCCAATCCTTCTTTGCTCAACCAGTCAAGTCTGAGCATCTCGTACCTCCAACCAGCATCCAGTGGAATGGCTCCACCAACACAAAATGCGTTTTACAAACATCCTTTGCGCTTTTCCATCTCGTTTACCCTTACCAGCCAATCAGGGCAACACCTTTGTACAACTCAACTTTCCCGCAATTAAGTAACCTAACAAACACCCTCATTAACAGAGTCTGGCTGGCAAGTGCCGCACTCTCCCCAAACCCACCAATATGGGGTGATTTAAAAAGAAAACACCAACGAGCACCTCCCTCTCCAAATGAAGACAACGTGGGTGGAAGACGTCACAGAGGCCTCCTTGCTGGGGGTGTCGAAGAACACGTAATGTGTGCTGGCAGGGATTACCCACAGCATCCCTCCCAATTTCACTCTAGCCAGAGGTCTCCAAAATTCACAGGAAAGAAAAAAAAAAAAAAAGAGAGAGAAACACAAAAGGATGCTCTGAAATATCTAAAGATGAGAAAATGAGTCCAGCAGGGATGGAGCCCTACCGCACTATGCACGAATGACCTGGGAGGCTACAACTGTGGGACTGGGGAAAGGCGGCCTGCTGGACAGCATCCCACCCACCCACCGGGCTTTCTGAGACAGGAAATTGCTCCCCACACACAGACATCACATTATCAAAACACTTGAACCTCACCTAGAGATGGAGCCATAGATGCCATAGGGTTGGTCGGATCGAGCTGGAATCCGCCCATCATGAACTGTGCATCAGAGGAAGTGCTCTCCATCTTCAGGTTGGGCAGATTCATGTTTTGCGCCAGGTAGTACTGGTAAAGCTCAGCCTCAGCCGGCGAGGGCAGGCTGCCGAGGCCCAGGTGCCGGTTGTGTTGGATTTGGGACATGTTCTGCTGCAGCAGCATCATATTGTGCATGTGTTTCTCACTGGTCATGTGAATGCGAAGGTTCCTAGCTACATTGGTCTCGTAGTCGCATACCTCACACCGCCAGGTGGGTTTGGTTTTTGGTTTGGTGGGGGAGGGGGCCCCACAGGTGCTACCAATGTTTGCTGCCGCAGCCGCTGCCGCCGCCGCAGCCGCTGCCGCCGCCCCAGCGGTGTGGCTGAAGACTTGCTCTCCCCCTCCGTTCTGCAGGTTTTGCATGTTGTTGAGATGCTTGTCGGACTGCATATGAATACTGAGGTTGCCTTTGGTAGTAGTGGAGTAGTTACAGACCTCGCAACGGAAAGGCTTGTAACCACAAGTGTAGCTCTCGCCCCGTGCCAACCGTGGGTGTGGCTGCCCACTTTTGCAGTAGACACATGAGCCACCGGGCTCGGGGTGTTTCTCCTTCATGTGCGCTTCAAGTGTCTGCTGGTACTTGTAGTGCCAATTGCACTTGGGACACTTCAGCGTTTTACATGAGTTGCGAGAATGCATCATGGTCATATGGCCGCCTAGCGATCGTGAGGAGCCCAGGACAGTGTCACACTTGGGGCACTCCACACCACTCCCCGAGGGGCACTCCCCACCCCCAAGCTCACAGAGGGGGCCAGCATGCTGGTGATGGGAGATGTAGCTCCCGTCGTCGCCCTCTGCACTCTCATTTGGTTCTGGTGCTGTGGCATTGTCTTTATTGGCACTTTCATCGATAAAGTCCAACCTCCTGCCACCCTCCGCCACACTGGCTCCACCACCCTCACTGTTAAAGCTTAAATGATTCCTCCTGCTTGCACCATCAAAGACAAAGGAAGAAGCAGAATTAGAACTAGTAGAAGCTGTGCCCCGGGACAGGGTCTGAAGCACATTAGGCATTAAGGGAGAGTTAGAAATGCTTTGGTTTGAGAGAGCAAGGTCCTTTTTGCTGCTGCTACCTGCCACAGCCCCAGACTCTTCATGGGGCCTGTCCTCCAGTTCGTCCTCCAACTCGCTCGGAAACAGTCCTTTGCAACCCTCATCATCATCTTCCTCTTCCTCCTCTTCCTCCTCCTCCTCCTCCTCCACATCCTCCTCTTCGTCCTCCTCCACCTCCTCAGCTGGCTCTGCCTTTTCCGAGAGGCTATCCTGGTCACCCATTTCTTGCTTCTCACTCTCTGCTACCCCAGGGTCCTTTCCCTCTGAGGATTTGGTAGGACTGGAAGCCAGTGGGCCCAGGGGGACTGAGGTAATTGGGGTCTTCAGAGCCGAGCTGGTCAGCCCACCAAGGTTCAAGAGGGCACCAGGCGCCAAGATGCCTGACTGTGGCTGCTCTGCTCCACCGGCAGTCCCGGCCTGGAGAGCCTCTTCACCTTCCATTCGAATGCCACTGAATTTACCGTAAAAACTGTGTCCAGGGCCTATGAGGTTAGCTGTGGAAACTAAAGGGTGTTGAAAGGTTTTGTTTTTTGGTTCCAGAAAACTTACAAGGGGCTCCTTGTCTTTGCCTATCCCTTGGATGATAGCGGAGATGTTCTTATTGCTAAGAATTTTCCGCTCCTCCTCACTTAGAGTCATTCGATGGTCATGCACTGCATGGGTCACAAATGAGCGGACATACCCAAAGGACAGCTTGCACAAGAAACACATCAGGATGGGCTTCCTCTTCCCATAGAGTACAAAGCCATCAAATTTGGACAGGTCCACATTGTTGGGAACATCTTTGGATACACAGGAACTTTTGGCAGAACCGTCGCTGTTCAGGTAATCCTTGTTGCTTTTGTGTCGCACATCGAAAACGCGGAAGCTGTGCAGGACGGGGCTGATGCCCGTCAGGGCTGAGGTATTCGGGAAGGACTGGTCTGAGCCCTCAAACCATTTCCCGAAGGATGAGGCTATGTGGAAAGTATTAATGATCTGTGGGTAGACGGGGGCAGCAGAGGAGGGTTCCCCTTGCTTGCCCCCCGCATTGGGTAGAGAGTTCATAAAGAGCGAAGGGAGAGCCCCACTGCTGTTGCCATTGCCACTGCTACAGGCTCCCCCGCTTTGGATCAACTGGCTGACGCTTTCGACAATGTATGCCGAGCCATCTGGCTGGTAGACGATTTCACCAGCCAGGTTCTCCACATCACTCTCCTCGTCCCCCTCCTCACTGGTGTCGCTCCCACTCTCCTCCTTTAGCGGAGGCGGTGGGCGGGCACTGGGGCAATGGTGCTCCATGTAGGTCTGTAAACTGGCGAAGGAGGCTGAGCATTCGTTGCAGCTGACCTCTTTGCTTGTGGACTCCGTATTGGGGCCAGCTGAGTTGGTGCTGTCTGGGATGCGCTCATTAAAGGGGGCCCTCAGGCTGTCCAGGGGCCCGTGGTTTTCCGTTGCGGACTGCTCCATAGTACTGGGTTTGTCAGGGAGGTGGGTGCTGTTAAGTTCAGTCCATTGCTGGTGCTGAGGGATGCTACACCCATTGTCCTTCCCAGAGATGACAGGCGAGTCACAGCCTTCCATGGTAAGGCCTGCATGGAGCTTTCATTGCACCCAGTACGGCTTGGACCTGAAAGGCAAACAGAAGGGGGGAGAAAGAAAGAATCAGAAAGGCGAGCAAGTCAGCGAGAAGGCACAGCCCGCACAGAACGGTCATCATCCCGCGCGGGCCGGGGTCTGCAGGACAGCGAGCGGCTCACTAACAAGCTCCTGAAGCGCAGGGCTGGCTTAAAGCAATGAGGGTAAGGCCGAAGAACGAAGCCAGCGAAACCACCGAGCACGCCCGGTCGAGGGAGCATTGCAACCCGTCCGTCACGAGGAGGAAGAGGAGGGGGCCATGCCCCTCTTTTTGCCACTCGCTACAGAAGTCAGAAAAGCATGAGACTCCTGAAGAGACTGGAGAGGAGCACGGTGGCGTGCGTCTAACACCCTACTGAAGACGGTAGTTGCAGCGTTTCACCCCAAACAGCTGAGAGCCCTTAAAAAATATTAACATAAGCATTTCAAGCCAGAAGAGCCTTTGGAGAGAAGCCTCGAGCCAGCTCCGTTGCAGATTTTAGCAGGGAGCCCCTGGGACCCCGTTTCCGGCTCCCTCCAGCACCCCGTCATTCAGAAATGGGGCTGGATCACTGCTAAGCCAATGACTCAAATGCACCTTGCTGACTGGGATAAGTCTCCTTCCATGCAGACACACTGCTGCCTGCCCTTTACCTTCTTTACATGTTTAGCTGGCAACTCAAGTTCAACACGGCCGAAACTGTGCTCACGACGGCCCCCGGCCTCTCTCCGTTAGTCCCAGCTGTGTTCGATTCTGCCCTCCCTCCAGACCCGCAGATCCAGGAGGTATAAAGAAAGCTTCCTGCACCTTCTTGGCAACACTGAGACCTGGTCTTTCTGCTACGTACAAAGCCCAAACTCTTCCAGGTCCTCAGTGCCCCATAACTCTGCTATCACAACTTCTTCCTTTCGGTGTACTATGCCAGCCTGGTCACTTGAGCACGGAAGTCACCTTCCTACCACATGAGCCATTTCATCCCCATGCCCCTCTGCATCCCTCCCCAGATTTCCCTCCCCTCCCTTAGCAAACATGAGCTATTTGGTCGTGATATTTAAGGTCCTTCATGGACTGTTTTGTTCCTGCACCTCTTGCAGAGGAACACAACCATCAACGCCCTACCTCTGAGTCAAGACCGCCAGGCATGATTTCCCTTTCAGAACTGTCCCTTTCCACCAAGCCCCTTCATGCTTCTCCCTCAGCACCCTGTAAAGACCCTTAAGACCAATGCATTACCCCAGCTCCCTCCTTGAGACCCACCAAAGGTACAATGTCTAAAGAACACCCTGGCAGGGCATCCCCGTTGTGAGCTGTGATCACCGATTAGTTCCCCAAGAACAACAGTCTTGCTGGTTCCTCGTGCTCCCGGTTTCCTGCGTTACACACTTTCTTGTGCTCTACTTTGATAGTCAGCTCTTTGGGGCAGGCGATACCTTTATGGTACTTACAGGCATAAAGAGACCAGCCACGACTAGGCTCTGTAGGCACTACCACACTATAACCACCACCAACCACTAATAATGGATTGCAAAGTACTGGGAGTTTGCTGAATGATACAGATAGCAAAAAAAAAAGAGAGAGAGTTGTGGGTAGGACCTGTACAGACAGACGACCTCCCATTGTCTCTTTCCCCCTTCCTCTCCCCTCCGCCCAGGGAGATGCACGCTTCCTCTCTATACAGCATTGGTACTACACCAGTGGAAATACAGCGGTCTCTTTAAAATCATCTCATTGCCAAAAACCACAGAAATCAGAGCTCAAAAACCCAAGGGAGATGCTTCTACCATTGCAGGATTTTTCCCTACAGTGCATATTCTGTGGACTAGTCCAGCCTAGTTGAAAACTAGAGTACTGCCATGTCTACCATTTTGGGAGACTATCATCTCAAAGTCCTTCTTCAAATTCTTCCTTATCAGGAGTTCTTGCTGGTGGTCAATGCCTTTTTTTTTTTTTTTTTTTTTCCCATTTCTTAGTAATATACCATTGTTCCTAATTAAGTCTCATTGCGTCAACCTAAGTAACACATTTATATCCATGTAATTGTTTTCAATGGTCACAGATCCTTGGCCTATGATGTTCCTCCCTCTAATTAGTCAATAGTTTTCTACTTGTGTGGAGTCCCAAACTGAACACGAACCTGGTCTGGTCATGCTGGACCGTCCAGAGGAGTTCAGCTTCACTGATCTATAGATACAATGCTTGCTGAAATACAATCCAGTATTGCATTTGCCTTTTCTGCAGCCCTCTTACTTTGACCGCCACTCTAATTAGCCACATGCTACCGTGTGTTGGTCTCTTTCAACACTGACTAATCAGTGCTTTGATGATTAAAAGTGCTATTTAAATGCTAAGTGTTATAATCAGAGTTTTAAAATTCACCTGACATCTTCTAGCCTGAGTTATGAACCTAGTAGCCGTGATGCAAAAACAACCATGCAGCCATGGCCTTCCAAAGACTCAAGTCTGCAACTGAAAGGAGTACTGAAACAGCCCCCGCCACCATCTCATCCTGGGGGGAGCACACTGTATTGAAAAGCACCACTGTCAACGCACTTTCTAGTCAAGATATCTTTACGTGGCCCTTGGTGGCAGAAGGAAAAACTCCGAGATGCCTACGAAACGTGACAACCCGCACCGCTATTCCAGCGTCTGCGCGCCACCAGAACGAAACTCGCCGGGTCTGATCTACATCGACGTCAGCGACCGCGAGCCGCACTGCCCCGCAGGCACCTGGCCCGTCCGTGCTGTGCTGCGCCGCGCCTGGGACAAGCCGGAATAAAAGCAGAGACCACGGAGCTGCCCAACTTCACCCTCGTGGCTCCAACCTTAACGAAGGCTCAAAAATTAAATTATCCTGAAGTAGAAACTTGGAAAGGCACCTGCCACAGGCAGATAGCTCCTCACCCCGGGAAGCAGAGTTTTAACGCTGCGACTAGAATGACCTGCACCTACCAGACTCAGCCCAATAAATATTTGGGTCTGCTGGCCCTCTTCCCAGACCGATTCCTGTTGGCTCTGTGCGAGGTGCTTAGTCAGCCCTGAACACCTGACATGCTGCTTTTGTTCACGTTACTTCTGCTGCATGGATTGAAAATGGATGAGGCTCCCAGCCAAACCGACAGGAGCCCAAGTTGTCTGCACATGAAAAAATCAAGACAAACTAATAGAAACCCAAACCAAATCCCGCATCCCCTTCAGGCAGCGACTGCTCGTTTCCTTGAGAAAGCAGCTCTCTTCTGGGAATGCGCATCTAGGCTGGAAAGCGCAGCAGAAGACAGTCGCACCTTCCTCCCAGAAAGCTAGCCGCCCCTACTCACGTGGGAATCAACTCCTTGCAACTAAAAATGACGGTGCACAAGAAACTCGCTCCGTTTGTAACCTCTTAAGCATGAACAAGTGATGTGTCTCATTTACGCACTATTATTCATTTACACAAAGGCCAAAACAACAGGGATAGTCCCAAGCCTGGAGAATGCAACAGGCTCCCAGGAACCGCGCTGCCCCGCTCCGCAGCGGGCAGTCGACGTGGCGCTGTCGCGGGGACCGCACCTGAGCGGGGAAGGATGCCTGATTGACAGTTGGGCCAAGAGGGTTAGCAGAGCCGATGGGGCGGGAGGGTTAACAGCCTGATTGTAAAATCAATGTCATAAATGCTTGGTAAGTTACAGGAACATGCGGGAAGAGGAGGCCACGATTGATAAAGGACTGCGGCTTTGATGCTGCACTGGGGACTTGTTTATTGACAGGAAAGCCAATCTCCTCTCCAAGCCAGGCCAGGCCAGAGAAACCTGCAAGCGTTTACCAATTAATTGGTGGGCTTTTCTGCCTCTGTGTTGCTCTAACAACTCTTCCCCTACCCAACAAGTTAAGCAGCGAAGGAAATGCTGCTTTCAAGAACTTTGCTTTCCTCCTCCACGTCCTGAAACTCAGAAGCCATCTCTGGCAAGCAAACCTTCGCCTGCCAGCACTGCTTCCAGCAGCCCCGGGACAGATTTCAGTCCTCTGCTGCCGAGTTTCCTTGCTCACCTTCAGGACACGAGCAACTCTGCCCAGCAGGGCCGAGGCAGGAAAACAGGAAGATCCACTTCCCCGTGCATGCAAACTGCCGACACCGACCCCTTAGTGCGAGGACTCAAATATTCTGGTTCAAGCAAACCCGGCAGTAATGGGGACTGCTGGTTCATCAGTGCGATGCTAACGTCTTGCCTCTTTCTTCCACCCGGCCCCACAAAGTTTAACATCCTCCGACTGGCTCAGCGCAGGGGCAGCACGTAGTTGAGGACAGGCAGATCCTTTCTGCATCCAGCACTTCCCCATCCTCTTCCCATCTCTCCCTCCTTTCTCTCTGTTTATCAGCCAGTCAATAAGAAAAGGTAGTTCTTACTTAAAGGAGGCAGAAGTCAACTCGTCAGGTCGATCAGCACTGTCTGTAAACATGGTTTCCCGTAAAATCAATGAACTTCAGTCATAGAGAGAACAGTCTGAGAACCCAAAGCCTCCACGTGCACACGCGCAGCAGCGAGCCGGAGGGAAAAGCTCTCCTTCAGTCGCTCCGCCGGCCTCTTCTCCACCACCTCGACCGTCCGTCGGACGTCTGCCGTCCCCAGCTCCGTTTCAGCTCTAAATGCTTTTCCACCCCCTGCGTCTCTGCCTTTACCTCCGTCTCCAGGCACCTCAAGCACGGATCTGGGCCCCTTTTCACCAGGCTTGCCCAATCCCAGATCCTGGGACCGAGGAATGACGGGGTGGTATCTTCACCCCCGGAGCAGCACTCTGCTTAGGACTAAGCTGCATTCACATGGGAGGCACGCGAGCAAGATGTTACAACAAGCCATCCCGACTACGTTCCTCCAGAGTCCCCACTAAGCCCAGCTGTCTCTTTTGCAGCCAAAACGCACAGCGTCAACCCCAGCTTCCGCTGGAAGGTCCCCTGCACAACGCTGGCCACCTCCGGGATTGCCAGGACGAGTCCCCTTGGCCCAGCACGGCGCTTGGCTCCGGGCTGGACCCGCGCG